AGGGAGGAGGTGATGTGATGGTTTTTAACCAAATTATTTTGACTACACAAATAATTGATATCCAGGGTAAAAAGCATTAAAAGCACAGAAAACAAAAAAAGTATAAAATGCCCCCAACTCCCCAAAGAAAACTGTCATGAGCATTTTAGGGTCATTCCTCCCATAAAGGCTTGCAATGTGTACACAACTTTGTACTTTACCTTTGGCACATAACATCTTCCAGTTCATTAAATATTTATTGAAAGCATGATTTTTTTTCCAAAAAAACTTATTATGGAAAATTTCAAACAAAAACGGAGAGTTATGGAATGACGCCCAGAAGCCGCCCCCAGCTTCAACAATTATCAATATTCCACCAATCCTACATCGCCTATCTTCACTTGTTTTTATTTTTGGTAGAATGCAGTTACGGATTGAATTGCATCCCCCAAGAAGCTACGTTGCTATCCCTGCTCGAGGGGCCCCAGAATGTGGACTCACTTGGAAACGGAGCCCCTGCAGGTGCGATGGGAGCGGGACAGGTCCCCACCCCTACGGACATGGGGAGCTTGTGAGGACCCCAGCTGGTCACCGACCTGGAGACCCCGGGCAGCAGGCTGTGGGTGCAGAGGGAGAGGCAGAGGACGGAGCCACCCGCCCAGGAAGGCGGCTGCCCCAGAAGCAGAGACAGCTGGGGCTCCCCCGGGACTCTGGCCCTGCTGGGACCCAAATCCCTGGCTCCTCACCCCCAGGACTGCAAGAGATTACATTCCTGTCACTTTAGCCATGCCATCGGTGCTGCTTTGTCACGGCAGCCGCAGGAAACGGACACCAATACAGCCAGCCACACACCCCAGAGCCTGGGTTCTGATGACTACATACTGTGTCCCGAAACAGAGGTTGGCAAGTGAGGGAAAACTGAACCTGCACCACGAAGGCCGTGACCCAGCTCAGGGTTGGAGAAGCCCAGGCCCAGGCAGGTTAAGGGACTCGCTCAAAGGGAGGTGGCTGAGGTCAGGCCAGGACACAAACTGCACCCTGGCCTCAGCCCGCTGGTGCCGCACAGCTACCTGTGTGTGGAGTGCATCTACGGACAGCCCTGAGTCCTCACCCCACTCTCCTCTGAGCGCCCCTCCATTTTCAGCCTCCCATCCCATGCCCTGTGGAGCCTGCTGCTCTTTATTCCTGTCCCCTTGCTGCCTCACCCCCTCTGTCTTCCTCACTCTGCTCAGTTTCCATGGCGCCTGATTGTCACCTCTCCTCTGTATCCAAGTCAGCCCCTCTCTTCGTCACCGTCCCCTGCCAGGACTCCCTCCCTGGGGATCCCAGCTCTGACTGACACTGCCTGATCTGCACATGATCACGGGGTGGGGGGATTGCCAAGGTCATGCATGAAGAAGAGACACCGCCACAGACCCTACAGACATTAAAGGACAGCAAAGGACTTCTCTTTGGAAAAACCTCCTGTCAGGAAATTCAATGGGCTTTGATGGAAAGGATAAGAGTTGAAGGACATAGATTATCAAAACTGGCCAGAGCGTGTGCACTGGAATTTCACAATTAGGTAAATGGATAGGTTTCTCTCTCTCTGATGGGGGCGCTTTACGGATAGGCGGGGGAGGAGCCAAATGTCCATGTGACAGGATGTCAGTTACACATGCCAGTGTGAGCTACCATTCTACTTTCTGTAGACGCGAAGTTACCTGTGATACTGTTTACAGACCCCTGCACACACACAAGTCACCGTCCACACGGTTTCCCTCCCCGATGGCCCAAGGGGCCCCGAGGTTGTGGCTCCCATCTCCCAGTCTCTAACCACTCTCCACTAACAGGAAGCAGTGCTCCACGCTAGACCTGGGAAGAGAAACACACAACAGGAGCTGAGGTGTCCTGCAGCCCAGAAAGCGCTCACAGAAAAGACAACACACACAGACCCAAACACCACACACACGGACGAGGGTGGGCCAACAGCACACACAGCCAGAGGAAAGAGCCTCGATGGGCACAACTGGAAACAATCAAGGAGCAAGATTTAGTCCTGCGGCTTAGAACCCAAAGCTGGGTTCACTCCCTGAGGTGAGGGAACGATGACTGAGTGGGAGAAAAGACACGAGACGCCCAAATAGCACACGCGGCTCGGCCCTGCAGAAAGGGCAGTGGTGCCTCACCCGCAGCGTGACTGTGCCTGGGACTTCTCTCCAAGGGTGCCCCTGATCCTCGCCCTCCACCAGCTAAGCAGCGACACAGAGGGGAGCAGGCGCCTTAGTCCTGGGCACCTCTGACCCGCTGTGATGGGCACACAGCTCCCACTGCCACCTTCTGGCCAAACCCGGACCAGCCCCAGACATCCAACCTGGGCCTCTCGATGCCACCGAGGTCTTCAGAAACAGAGCTGTCACGACCAAGGAGCCAGGCAGGCACAGCAGCCAAAGGCCATGTGAGGTCCTGGCTGGGGTTCTAGAAGCAAAAGGGACAATCCCGTAACAAGTAAGGAGTAGAGTGTCGGCTTCAGTTAATGATCACGCATCCATAGGGCCTTGTTAGCTGTGACACCTGCCACTCCTGCTGTAAGATCCAGTGAAATGGAGGAGATGGGGCCGGGTATTTGGAAACTCTCTCCTATCCTTGCAATTTTTCTGTAATCTAAAACTATTCTGAAGAATTAACTTAAATAGCACATCAATTGAAAAAGCTGAACTTGATTAGATGTCTTTCCACAAAGAAAACCACCGGTCCCGAAAGGTGGCTTCCCTTGGGAATACTGAGGAACATTTTACAAAAACCCCAGACAGTCCGCACAAACTCCTTCAGGAAGCAGAGGTCGAGAAAACACTTCCCAGCTTTCTTGGTGATGCCTGGTACCAAACCAAGGCAGGAAGACATCAAAGAAAAAACAAAAAAAACTAAGGACTGGTTCCACTTAGCGGCTTGACACAAAAGTTCTTAACCAACTGGTAAAAACAGTGAAAGAAGCATAAGTCTCTCATAAGCAGGGCTGTGTGGTTTGTTCCAAGAATGCAGGGTTGGCTTAACATAAAAAACCAGTGGATGTGGTTCACTCTTGTTACATCGGGGCCAACAGGTCCCCAGAGGCTGGTGTGTGGCTGGCTCGGTCCCAGCACAGCAGTGGTCAGACATGGGACTCCAGGGAGGGACCAGCTAGCGGGGTCATCTGTGATCATCTCCTGGGTGATGGACTGTTTGGACGTGGCTGCAACCGCAGAAGTGGGCCCGGTGGAGGAAGTAGCACCTCCACCTTGGAGGCCTCTTCCTGTCCCCGGCCTCCCTCCCTCTCTGCCCCCGGACACTGTGAGGACAGCAGCCACCACGCTGCCACTGCCGGGCCTCTCACAGCCCAGAAGCAGCAGGCGCCTGGGGCAGTGCCTGGAAACCCCTCCGCTGTGAGCTGGAATTACCTTATCTCCTCTACCCTGGGGTTCTGGGTATTTTGTCACTGACGGAAAGCTGACACAACTCATGCACAGAATTCAGATGAGAGGCAAGAAGATCATCTCAGACGCAGAGAAGTAATTGCACACAACAAAATTCAGCACCCGTTCATCCCGAGCGCGCTCACCAGACTAAAAACGCGGCACGTGTCTGCCGGGTAGCTGGGGACCTGAAGAAGCCCAGAACAGAGCGGTGAATGCTTCTCCGAGTCTGGAACCAAACCAGGGGTGCACCTGTGCCAGGTCCTCGGGAAGGGTACCCAGGGTCCCTTCTAGGGGACAGGTGAGCGTTCACCTGAGCTCCTCTGAACCAACAAGCATGCGCACCACCATCACAGGAACAAATCTGTTCCATTCTATGCTCCAGTAACTCGTTTAAAAATATCCTTCACAATTGCATTTTCAACGGATAAATCTAATAAAGCATGAATGTGCTATATGAAACCCGCAGAACACTGCTAAAGGAAACCTGAATAAATAGAGCTATGTCAAGGCTGTGGACTGGAAGACACAGCACTCTCACGACGTGGACTGTTTCCTCCAAAATGAACCATGGATTCAGTGTGATCCAGGATTTCTGAAAAATTGCCAACCTGACTATAAAATCATATTGAAAAGCAAAGGACATGGAAGGGTTCAAAGCAGATGGCTATGTTTTTTAAAAACCATAAAGAATAAATTTTTAGCCGGGCATGGTGGTGCACGCCTGTAATCACAGCATCCGGGAGGCTGAGGCAGGAGGATCACTGTGAGTTCGAGTACAACCTGGGCTAATCAGTGAGTTTCGGGTCAGTCACAACTACACAGTGAGACCCTGTCTAAAAAAAAAAAAAAAGAATAAATATTTATAAACAAACAACACAGATTTGAAAGACTCACTTTGCTTGAGCTCAATACGTTCTAAAGCTACAGTCATCAAAATCGTCTGGTATTGCTGTGGTGGTTGACAGAGTACATGGTCGACTTGCTTCCAAAAAAAAAGTGCCAGTTTAATTGATGAGGGAAATCTAGTATTCTTTTTAAAGTAGTGGAGCAATTTCATACCAGTATGGAAGAGAAAAGAATGGAATTAAATCGTTACTTTACCCCACATCCAAAGTTATATGGATTTGCTATGAAATTAATCAAGGGCCTAAATGTAAATTCTAAACCTGTAAAATTTCTAGCAGGTTATGGAGGAAAAAACTCTTTGTGACATTTTGGTTAAGCAACGATTTATTAGCTAGGACCTATAAAACCCAAGCCAAAAAAGACAAAATTACTTTGAGCTGCACTGAAACAACAAAATTTCTGATTTTTGAAAAATACCACTTAGAAAACAAGACAAGCCCCAGACTCTGGAAAGATGCTTGTCCAACACAGCTTGGATAAAAGGTTTGCCTTCAGGGTATGTGAATAAATTCAACTTGATAGTAAACATGACTCAGTAATAAGAAAAAACAAAACATTTTTAAGTAGGTGAGACATTTGAACTGAAACTTCCCAAAGAGAGGAGATTTGAGTGGTTAATAAGTGGTGGCCACGCCCACGCCGCTGCGCACAGCCACGTGGCAAGCTGACAAGTCCCAGCCATGGGGTCGGAGCGGTGGCCACGCCCACACTGCCGCCCGTGAGACGGTGAGGCTTCTTAGAAAACAGGCTCCATTCCTTAGAAAGCCACTATATCATCCGGCGCCTGTGAAACAAAAGGCTCACGAGCGTCCAAAGCAGGACACGGCCGGCTGCCTACCGACCATGAGCGCGGGCTCCTCCAGTCAGAGGAGAAAGAACGGCTGGAAGCACCCGATGGCCCCAACTGGTGCCGGGCCGCGAGCCAGACACCAGTGAGCACACGCAGGCCAGGCCTGTGGTCACTCGGTGAGTGTGCCTGGGGCCCGAGAGGAAGGGCGGGGATGGAACACAGGGAGGCTGGGGCAGTCGCCCAGACTCACCGACTGCAGATTCACGTCCGGTAAGGAGCACTGTCCAAGCCCGTGGTGTCTAGTTGCACCCCTGCCCCGTTTACTTCCTCTATAGCAAGTGACTTCTAACACTCAGTTATTTACTCCTGTGACATTTTCATCTGCCTTCCCCAGCAAGAGCAGGGATTTTATTTTGACTTTTTAACTCCCAGCGCCTAGGTCCAGGGCAAGCACTTAGGAGGTTCGCAGTAAATATTTTCTAAGTTAATCAACTGTGAGAAGGACTCACGTCTTGCGTGATCGCAGGATTTCCCTAAAGTTCCAATCATTGTAAAACAGGGGGCTTCCTGCAGGGGTGATCGGCGTGGCCAACGGGAGCCAAAGGGGCCAGCACCTGTGCCGGACCTGGGTCCCCCTTATCCAGACTCGGGGTCAGGGGCGGCATGGATGAGAACCGCAGGCTCCCTCCTCACAACACACACAAGAAGTTGGGTCTGAGAAGCTTAAAGTTTATGCGTGAAAGCAGAACTTTAAAACTTGATGAGAACAGAGGTGAATCTCTCACATGACCTCATTATGGGCCACAGTTTTCTGGCCACAAAACCACGAACCCGAGGAAAATGATTAATCAATTTGGCTCCATTAGGGCAATGACTTATGCTCATTATAACCCATCACATATTCTCCTTATTTTAAAAAATGCATACTGAAATATTTACAAGTAAATGCAGAGGGATTGATGTTTTAATGCAAAAGAGATTAAAGGGGTGGCACTATGAACAAGAGACCAAACTGAGAAGAAGACAAGCTGCTCTGTAACTTACGTAAGTGCCACACTGCAACAACCGAGATTACTGTCCTGAATATGCAAAGAACTCTCATGAATCAACAAGAAAGAAGAGCGGTATTCAGAAAAGTAGACAAAGACAGAGACGGGCATTGTACAGAAAAATACAAGGAGCAAATAAACATTTGCCCCTTATGAGTTCAACCACCGTGCAAATTAGAAAATGCAAACGAATATGTCACAACGGGCTTCCTCACGGGACCTGCCAGGCCAGGAAAGGAAGGCAGAGGGTTCACGAGGCTGTGGATTTGCAGGGACTTTCTGTTGTGCTCACTTCCCTGCCCAAGGTTGCGAGGTCCCCACTCGGAAGGCAGACAAGGCTCCAGGAGGCTGCTGTCATGGGCCTGGAATCCCAAGGAGGAAGACACACTGTGGTGGCCTCAAGGGGCTGTCTCGGGCCAGACCCTCCAGCCGGGCCCTGTCCACGGCCTCCTGACCCAGGTCTCAGAAGCCAAGACCCCGGCGTCTTCCTGGCACTGACCAGGTCCAGCCCCAGTGACTTCTGTGATGCTTCTGTGTTGAGTGGTCACGGAATGTCAGCATCGCTCCTCCGCAATACGAAATAGTCCTTAAAACCAAGCTTGTGATCTACGGCCGCAAAGACGCCTGTTCTCTGGAGCAGTGTGGCGTTTGTGGCCATTCCCTGTTGCTGGTGTTTGGGCCATGTGTTAGCAGTCCCAGGACACACAGCTAGGAGGACCGGCCTGGGGACCCTGGGGACCAGCCTCCCAGGAGGTATGGCTGCAGAGCACGTGGGGTGGTCTCTGCAAGTCCCACCCGACACTCCGACAGCCACAGTGACACCCAGGAGGGAGGCAGTTCCAGGCCTCTGCAGCCCTGTCTCTGGGGCCGGTCTCCGGAGCGCCCTGACGGCAGGGGCCCTGCAGCTGGGGTTTGTGGGGGCTCCAGCACCTCTGGTGGTGCCATGAAGGGCCCAGGAAGGGGCTTGTGCAAAGGGTGGGTCTGCCACCACCCCCGTTGTTCCCTGGCCTCTTGGGCCTTGGGACTCAGAAAACAAATCTGTGACACCTAGAGTGGCTTTCAGCAGGGTCGTGATGGAGCAGGCTGTCCTGAGGCTGCCTGACCCACAGGGTGTGTTCCTTTGTTTGCTTTACACGTGACTTAGTCATCAGCATTTAAAAACCAGGACATTTCGCCAACCATCTGGATTTCTGGCTTCGCTTGGAAAATCCAGAGCTCAGCCCCCAAGGGCCTCAGTCAGCTGGCGCAGCAGCCCCTCTGCCCCACCCGAGGCTCCCCTGGGGGCCACGTGCAGTCCCGTGAGCCGTGCGGTCTCTCCAAAGGACCAAGTGCCCTGCAGCTCCCAGAAGAGGGCTGGGCCTCCATCTGGGTGCCACCTTGGCTCAGGCAGAGCAGCCCTGGTCCTGCATCCTGTTCCTGTCCAACAGGAGGCCTCCGTGTGCCCTAACTCCTGTGGTGGTCACTGCTGGGACAGAAGGCGCCACGTCCCGCCGGCTCTTCTGCAGCTCTGACTGCTGGCAACTGTGCTGGCTCCTGGGTGCTGGCCCTCAGCACACAGCCTTCTCCAGAGCAAAGGATGTTCAGAGCTCCTGATCCAGCTGACCACACCTCGGCCAGCAGCCCCAGAGCCACAGCCCTGGCCACCATGCAATCAGCTCCACCCTCTTTCCCACAGGGGCCTCGGCCATGCCCCAGGGTCAAAAGGCGAGGCTGCTGACTGAGAGACAGCGTCTTTATCCTGTGAGAGAAATGCTCTTCCTTTGTAGCTTTCCCGAATATTTTGCTTCAAGGAAGGAGGCTGAATTTAATGACTTTACCGAGTACACAGCCCTGCTCGCAGATCTCAGCATCTGACTGTATCTGGTGTTTAGTAAGCACTTGGTAAATACCTGCGAATAAATTTATGAATGTGTGAATCCCAGTAAAAGAATTGTTTTCCTCATTCTACTCCTTACATGAGAGGTTGTTTTTCTGAACGTGTAACCTGGGAATTTCCAGAATTTCTCCTCAGTTAGGGCGCTGAGTTTCCACAGCTGTTCTGATGTCTCCACTCAGGGGTGCAGGCTCTCTGGCTGGAGTTCGTGTACACGCCGTGTGGACAGAGTTTGCAATGAACCCAGACCTATAAAAATGAATCCAGTCATTTTCCACCTTTTCTCCCACCCTGGAAGAATCCATTATCAGTTCCTTGAAAGTTTAGAGAACTCGCTGAGAAGTCGCCAGGCCCCAAGCTGTGGGAGGAAGCGCTGCGGGAATTTTTCCATATTGTCCTGACAGATTCCAATTTTCTCCTTCTGGCCTTGAGATGTTCTCGATGGTCCACGACTTCCAAGAAAATACCCACACTCTCAGCGTGTTTAGGCTGTCCCGCAACTTCTGTGTGTCTGCTTTTGTGCTCTCTCTGTGCTGGTGCCAGCACGTTTTTTCCTGCTTAACTTGTCTGGACGTCCACCTAGAGTGTGTCACAGAGTGTTTTATAAGTAAAGCTCAGAGCCGTGTAACACTGCTGCTCCTAACGGTGCCTGCCATGAGGCCCCGGGATTTCTGCTCTGACCTCTGTCCAGCCTTGGCTCTCAACACGCTCCTCAGCGCCTGGTGAGGACGGACCTCAGGCTCAGCCCGGCACAGAGCCGCATCTGCAGCTTGTCACAACCCTCCCGGCTCATTCCAGTCAGGGCCGAGGCTCCACTATCCTGTAGGAGGGAAGGCCCGAGCTCATGGGCGCAGCTGGTGGCTGTTCCCAGACATGAAACCAGAAGGTATGGGGAGTGGGTGGCTAGCCTGGGAGTGGAGTGATTTGTGTCCCCACCCATGTCCCCAGAGAGCTCAGCGATCCCAGCATGGGGCTCCTCGTGCAGAACTGGGCACCCTGGTGCAGACTGTAGCGTCTGGCAGGGCTGAAGCGGCCACGTGTGAGCCCTCACCAAGGCCTGGCGTCACCGTCACCACTGCGAGCCCAGTGCATCAGCAGTGGAGGCCGACACTGACTGTCCCCACGGCACCATTCTGGGCCACCTATCTGAGGCCAACCCGCTAGACCCGTCCCACGGTGGCAGAGTCCAGGTAAAAAGGGTGAGGGCTGCAGTTGTGATTCACTCTAGGAGCAGAGAGATCTGTGGTCCCGCCCTTCCGGGAGCAGATCCGTGCAGGGGTTTACGTTCCTTCCCCGGTGCTGTGCTCTGCAGCACCATGCCCTGCGGTCCTACAAAAGCCTCTTCCTGCTGTGGTGTCCGTTTATCGTTGCAGTCTGGAGATATGTACCTCTGGGCTCATAGCCACCGAGTCCCTGGCCACCCCTGGCCTGGATGCACCCAGCCAGGAGACTAGGGAGGGCCCGGTCTGCAGCCAGCTGGGGACCACCTGTGGTGGGCCCAGGCTTTTACCAGTGGCCAAGATGTGAGCCGTTCCCTATTCCCGAAATCCATGGCTGGGTACCAGGGTCAGAGGCAAGCGCAGCCCCTCACCGTACTGCCAACCTGTTAGTGAAACTGTCCAAGGAGAAGTCTCCCAGAAAGCAATGCAGCCACACTGAAACTGTGACACGAAAGAGACCACAAGTCAGAAACGGTAGAGGAGCCACCAGCCCCTCCCTCGGGCACATCTGGGGACAAATGCAGCTGCAGACCAAGCCCCATGACCCCAGGCAGAGCCAGGACCCGGATGAGACCCACGAGGCCAGTGTCTGGGGCACCGTCCACCGGCAGGTGGTGGGGTGAGGAGAAGGAGCCTCCCTCGGAAAGTGACAAAGCGAAGGAGACGGGAGCTTCTCCCTGGAGGAGGCTCAGGGAACTGACACCATCGGGTGTGCAGTAAGCCACCATCAGCGCCCAGGCAGGTCACGCGGCTCCCTGGCTGGCAGCAGAGGCTCCCAGCAGCCTGCAACAGGGCTGGGGACACATGAAGAAAAGAGCAGCAGAGAGTCACCTGCAGACCCGCAGGAGGAGACACGGGGGCCGGACAGGGCCAGAGGTGGCCTCAGAGGACGGCAAGGGTCTCCTGAAGGGCAGAGACCACAGTGCTCAGAATGAGCAGGTGAAATCCGAACCCCAGGAGAGAGAGCACCCCCAAATCCCCTAAACGGAGACACAAGAGCCCGAGGCCACCTCCCTCCCTGTCGGCTCTCCCAGGAAGCCAGAAACATCAGACAGGACATGCAGTGTGCAGGGAGAGCCAGGGCCATGCACTGTGTGCAGAGTTGAGAGAGGGCAGAGCGGATGTTGCTCGGGTAGACAAGAGGACCCAGCCCACTCCAGTGACCGACCCAGACCTGCTGGCCCCTGCAAAGCCCCTGGTGCTCCTGTGTCCCTGTCCCCTCCTTGGGGACAGGAAAGGTGGGGTTCTGAAGACCTCCCATGAATCCCGGCTGCAGGGTGAACTGATTAGAATCTACCATGTGACAGGAACCTCAGAGAATCCTCTGACAAGGGGCAGTCCCCAGTGGCACCAGGCCACCTGTCTGTCTTCCTCTCCCAAATCACCCAGGTTCCTTGGGGGAAAATGGCTCAGGGCAGCCCCTGTTCTCAGAAACAGGGATCTCAGGGCTGGTGTTGCCGCGAACGCTCCTGGCAGCCCCTGTGGGAGGGATATGGCCTGGATGTGGCAGGAGGCCTGGAAGTCAGCCCGGGCTGCAGGGGGCACCTGTGAGCAGCTCATGGCCACCGAGCAGGAGGCCCCCCACAGAGTGACAGGTCCCCTGACTGTGTCCAAGACTGCGGGAGAAGCAGAGCTGCTGGCTGGGGGGCCCAGACAGCCCTGAGAGCAGCCGGGAGGGCTCCTTTCACTGGCCTGAATGATACTGTGCTGCAATGCGGACAGGACACTGAGGCCCACAGGGGTAGGGCCGGGAAGAGAAGGCCTGGCTCTTGCAGTCCATGTGCCCAGATGGGGGAGAACAGCCTGGCCCCAGCCTGCTCAGCTTCCTCACCTGTAACCAGGACCTGGGATTCGTGGGGGCACCCTAGGCCCCCATTTAGTGCCTGGCCAACATTAGCTTCACACAGAACCAGCGAGAAGTAAAATGCGCACGTGGCTCTGTCTGTGGCTCCCAACACTGCACCTCTGCGCCTGGGGGCAGGGGACACCTTCCCATCCAGGACATTGAAGGCCCCCAGGCTCCTCCCACCATGCCACTGCCCAGCATCTCCTTCCGCAGGCCCTGCTGGATGTCTGTGAATCCTCCCAGGGGGAAGGAACCTGCTTCACATCAGCCTGGAGCCCAGATGCGGCAGGGCAGCCACATGGCGGAGGGTGGGAGAGGCCAGGAAGATGGCGTCCACTCTGGGGAGGGACCCCATGCCCCAAACCCACATGGCCTGGCTGCCTTCCTGAGTGGCTGCACCAGAGAGACGGAGCAGCCTGGGACTCCCCAGCCAAGGGTTAAATCCTCGGCAGAAGCAGGAGAGGAGGCCCCCGCCACACACTCCGGAAGGCGCATGAAAGTTTAATGGCGCTGCAGCTCTGTTCCCAGCATGCACTCGGCCCGGCAGCGCGATCTGAGCAGAGTCCAAGGCTCTCGGGTCTGAGGTGAATGTGAGGACCTTGGTCCTCCAGCTCCCCATGGAGTCCCCATCTGGCCTCTCGGTGACCCTGTGGAGCTCACGATAAGTGCAGCAGTGTGTCCCATGCCAAGCAGGGTCCTAGAGACATCAAACCCTGCAGCCTCCCCACGGTGGGAAGTGGGGTCCAGGCCCCCGCCTTCCCATCTCCCACAGTGGAGCACAAACAGACCAGGTCAGAGCAATCACACAGCAACTCTGGTGACGCCACAGGACATCCATGCCTCCTCCGAGGGCTTCTGGGGCTGCCTGTCCAGCCCCTCCCTCGTGTTGTCAGAAAGATGCCCCTTGCCACCCCCAGACTGTCTGGGACCAGTGGCCAGGACGCAGGAGTGAGCACCTCTCCAGGTCGGGATAATTCCCAGCACATGGGCACTGCCTGTCCGACTGGAGTATGTTCCTATTCCAGTTTTATCAAGCGGCCCTGCAGGAGGGGACACCTTGGCAGATAGTGCTGACGGGTTTGAGGTGAAGAAAGATGTCACTCCAGCCAGGCTTGGTGGTGCCGCAGGTCTGCGATCCTAGCATTTCAGGAGGCTGAGGCAGGAGCGTGGCACGCCCAAGCTCAGCGTGAAAACCTTGTGATTTAGTGAGACCCTATCTCAAAATAAAAAATAAAAAAGGACTGAGGATGTAATTCAGTGTGAAGTCTTTGTTCAATCCCCAGTACTGAAAGAAAGAGAGAAAGAAAGAAGGGGCAGTGGGAAGAGGGAGGGAGGGCCAGAGAAAGCCACATTCTTGGAAAGTTCTGGGAGCCCCACCCTGCTCCCTGGGCCAGCTTCACTTTCCAGCAGCTCCCAGGATGGTGCTGTCGGAATCAGCTCGGCCCAAGGAGGCTGGCACACTGCCACGCACACAGCAGAGGCTGGGGAGCTGGCGATCGGGGGAGGTGAGGTGAAAGCAGGAGGTAGCACCTGTCCCTTTCCCAGCACCTGGCTCCGAGCAGGGCCCCGAAGACGCAGGTCTCCGGGCTCTGGGCACAGCTAGGTCCATCCAGGAAACTGAGGGCCTGAGCAGTGGGCCCCAGCCCGGCTCTACGCCCCTGGGTCAGGGCCCAGTTGCTCTGACCCCACCGGGTCCCGGCCGTGTCTGCACAGTTGGAGGCCCCGCCTGCACCTTCCTTGCCAGCCTCGTGGCCCCATGCTCTGCTCCCCTGTGGAGACACTATAATCGGGGCTGCTCCTCCAGACTCCCAGGGGCCTGGTGACAAAATCACAAGGAGTAGAGATGCGGGCAGCGGTGGACCAGCCAAGGCCTGAGATGGCCCAGGGGCAGCCAAGGGACCTGGCTGCGGTGAGGGGTCAGGAAGTGGCCCCGAGAGTCCAGGTCACCTCTATCGGAAAGGCTTGGGAGACTGTCCTGCCCACCCCCAGTCCCAAAGGAGCTCTTTGAAAATCATGGTTGGCTGCGCTCAGGCTGGAACTGCAGGGTGAGGGCGGGCTGTCGCCGGTGGGTCCTTCCCTGGATGGAGCTGAAGGACAAGGGAACAGAGGGGCAGGGGAAGCCGCCAGGCCCAGGTTTCTGTGTTCCCAAAATAGGTTCAGCCATCTGCCCTGCCTCTACCTCCCCACCACCCTCCTGCAGTCTGTGGTCCAGGCTCGGGCATCCTTCGGGTCCAGGGAGGAACCCTTGTGCTGGGCCGAGGTGTCCATGTGACTGGATTAGAGGGCGAGTTCATGGGAAGGACTGACGTTTGTGAAAGGATCCTTTCCCGCTCCGTCCTAGGAAGGGCTGCAGGCCCTTTCTCCTTCCCAGGTTTGGCATCAGACCTCAGATCTGAGGCCCTGGGATCCTGGGAGCTCGCAGACTCCCAGAGGGACATGCAGGACAGGAGGTAAGGACGTGCCAGAGGCCGGGCAGGAACAAAGGCTCCACTCTGAAGCAGCTGAGCATAAAAATAATAATTCAAGGGCCGGGGATTTAGCTCAGTGGTTCCACCACCTGCTTCCCAAGCACAAGGACCTGAGTTCGATCCCCGGTACCAAATAAATAAATAATACTAACAATTCAACCATGATGAATTAAATCTGAGTTTGAGGAGGCCTGAGTCCCCCAGGAGACTCAAAGGGGGAAAGTTAGCACCAAACATGGCCCATTGCCTCCTGTCTTGTGTGCACTGGGAGGAGAACCAAGGAGGAAGCAGACATCGCCCAGGTGCCCCTGGGTCCCCAGTGCTGGGATTCTGCAGAGGCACGGGTGCCCGCCCACCCTGGGTGCCTGTGCCACCCTCATGCCTGGCATCTCTGGGGCCTCCTCAGGCCTCTTTGGGCCTCTGCTGTCACGAGCCCAAGAGATCAGGTCCAGAGTCCACACCCAGTAGCTCTTCCTGCCACCCCCAGCCTGAGCTCCTCCAGGGCAGGGACAGTGTCAGGAGCAGACAGCACCCAGCAAACAGTGAGGGCAGAGGAGACAAGTGAGCCACTGAGGCAGAGCAGAGCTTCGTGTAAGGAGCAGAGGCCCAGGATGCTCCCAGACATGGCTCATCGGCGTCCAGGCCGACACCCTCACAGAAACGCTCACACGACAGAAGACTTGGAAGAGACTGGAGCAGGAGAACCAAACAGGACACGGGCTTTGTGTCAGCTCACAGCCACCGGGAGGTGCTGGCCCAGGAGGGCCCTGGAGACCCAGGGTAGAACGGAGAGGCTGGGAAGCTGCCAGGAACCCCTGATCCGTGGATTTCAACAGGTGGGAAGGAATGACCTGCCCCAGGGTGCTGGAGAGGTCTACAAACATAGGCCTGGAGGTGCAGGACAGGACAGGATACCGGCCTGCTGGGGACACCCGCTGGAGCTGCAGGACAGAGGGAGCTCTCCTGGCCGCAATTCCCAGGGACAGGTCTGGGCCACCGGCTGGCACTGAGCAGGACCAGTAGGAACGGGACAGTGGACACCGTGTGGGTGGGAAGTCTCTGGGGCCTGGGCAGGGCCTCTGCTGAGTAGAGGGCCTTCGGGAGTGGGGTGATGCGGTCAGGGCCCGCCTGAGACGTCCAGTCTGATGATGGAGATCACCCCAGCACTGCAGAGCCAGGGTCAGGCCCCAGAGGTACCAGTCCCCATCCCTGCTGCTCAGGGCCCTTATCGGTACCACAGGAGCTGCCTGGAGAGTACTAAACCCTCCACCTACACCAGCTGTGTCCCTCACATAAAGTCTGCGCTTTGCTGAGGCTGTGATTTGAAAGGCTACTTCCTGCTTCAGCCAAATTTTACTATTTAGATGCAAAGCCAGGCTTTTAATTTTTACTGAAAAAAGGAGATTTAATTCTTGGCCTTTGGGAAGTGTTCGAGGAGGCAGAGAAGGTCTCTTTTTCCAGAGAATATTGTACCTTGATGAAAACGGAGTGTCAATTATCTTAATGGCTGTTACATAAAGGCCACACTTAGTCATTTTCTTCCTCTTTAGTGCTCCTCTGGAATGGGGGAATTTCTCTAACTCCAGAGCAAGACTGAAACCAAGGAAAGTGCAGTTGCTCTGCCAGAAAATCAACAGTGAGTGTCCCCCAGCAGGGAGCCCTGAAGTCCCCACCACAGAGGACAGGACCACGAAGGCGCACAGGAGCCCGTTAAAGGTCGCTCCCAGGGTACTGAGTGCTGTGTGAGGACAGCCCCACCCAGGACTGACGCACCACGCCGGCCCCACTTCTGTTCCGGCCTGGCCTGGGTGCAGCCTCCAGAGCCAGACGCCCACCAGCAGGGGCACAGGGCGACCCACAGGGTCCCACCTCCTCCTGCTCTGTGGATGGAAAATTTCAGTGGCCTGGGTGCTGCACGTTTCACTTTGAATTCAGTCCACGAAGGCGGGAGTGGGATTTGCATGATGAGGCTGCTCTGTGCGCAGCACCCCGACTGCCGGCCGCCTGGCTTAGATGGTATTTTGGCCCCCAGGATGAATAGCCAATTTGGCCCTTTGCAGCTGCCGCAGCTGCCAGGAAGTTGGACAATAAAGTGCCCCCCGTTTAAAATGGAGGGAGCCACGCTTGGGGGGTGGCACAAGGCAGCTGCTGAGGCTCCGGGCCTCCTGGAGAGCAACTTGCAGTCCAAGGGCACAGTTCCTGTCCCAAGCGAGCGTCTGCAGCCCTCCAAGCAGGCCAGTGGCCTCTCTGGACGCCCCTCTCAGCCCCCCGCTCCTGCGGGCCTTCTCCCACCAGCTCCTCTCCAAGCACCCACGCCTCCCACTCTGTCCTGGGGGACAAAAACTGGCCATGGTGACACCAGGCAGGGCTGGTGGGAGGCAGAGGCTCCCTGGGGCCCTGCACGCGCTGTCCTACAGTGGCCTCGCTCTGCACCGTGACTTCTCTCACGGACTTTCCTGCACTTAGCATCCTGGGGACTCTGTGGGACCCACCAGGTGCCTCTTGCTCAGACACACAGTGGGAAATCACCCTCAGCCCACGCCTCTGTGCTGGCACAGCCCATGCATGTGGAGGGACTGTGGATGGGAAGGAGGATGGGGGAAGAGAGGCAAAGGGTTAGGACCCAGTTAGCGTTTGGTTTGATGCAAAGAGGCCCAGTTTCCTGGGGCAGGAGGGGTCGTGGGAACTTAAAGAGGTGTGGCTCGGAGGAAGGTGGGTGGCTCTGGGCTCCAGCCTTACGGAGGGGACTGTTCCTGTGACAGGGACACATTGCAAACCCACTGCATGGCTCTCTGGCTTCCTCTCTTTCTGAGCACAGATCTCTTCTGCACCTACTCCCACCATTGCGGGCCACCCACCATACGCAGTTCCCCGGGGTGCAGCAGCATGCCGGTGCCTGATCCTGAATCTCCTGAACCATGAGCTTTATAAAGTACGAGGCCTCAGGTACTGCAAAACAAAGGGATGAGTGCAAAAGGAAGGGAGGAGTTTGAGTGGATAAATGGATGGATGGGTGGGTGGATGGATGGGTGGATGGATGGGTGGATGGATGGGTGGATGGATGGGTGGATGGATGGGTGGATGGATGGGTGGATGGATGGGTGGATGGATGGGTGGATGGATGGGTGGATGGATGGGTGGATGGATGGGTGGATGGATGGGTGGATGGATGGGTGGATGGATGGGTGGATGGATGGGTGGATGGATGGGTGGATGGATGGGTGGATGGATGGGTGGATGGATGGGTGGATGGATGGGTGGATGGATGGGTGGATGGATGGGTGGATGGATGGGTGGATGGATGGGTGGATGGATGGGTGGATGGATGGGTGGATGGATGGGTGGATGGATGGGTGGATGGATGGGTGGATGGATGGGTGGATGGATGGGTGGATGGATGGGTGGATGGATGGGTGGATGGATGGGTGGATGGATGGGTGGATGGATGGGTGGATGGATGGGTGGATGGATGGGTGGATGGATGGGTGGATGGATGGGTGGATGGATGGGTGGATGGATGGGTGGATGGATGGGTGGATGGATGGGTGGATGGATGGGTGGATGGATGGGTGGATGGATGGGTGGATGGATGGGTGGATGGATGGGTGGATGGATGGGTGGATGGATGGGTGGATGGATGGGTGGATGGATGGGTGGATGGATGGGTGGATGGATGGGTGGATGGATGGGTGGATGGATGGGTGGATGGATGGGTGGATGGATGGGTGGATGGGTGGATGGGTTTGTGGATGGATGGATGGGTGGGTGGATGGGTGGGTGGGTGGATGTGAGAGGTGGATGGGTAGATGGTGGACAGATATATGGGTGGGTAGATGGCTGGAAGGATGGATCTGGGAGGTGGGTGGATAGGTGGATGATGGATGGATGGGTGGATGAGTGGTGAATGCATGGTGGGGGGTGCATGCATAGTTATGTGGGGCAGAAGGAGGAAAAGCAGAGGAAGGGATGATAGGTGATCACTCACGGGATGCTTGGGAGCCTGGAGCCCCTGGGTTGTCGGCACTCTAAGCCCCTCCCCTAACAGCAATGCCATTGACTTCAATCATGTTTTTCTCTTCTTTTCTCCACTCATAGCTCCTCTTTCTAAAAGCACTGAGGGGCCCGCACTGCTGGGCTTGCTGCACAGCTGGACTTGTTGTCCAGCCTGCCTTCCTCCCCAGAGCAGGCACATTTGGTGGACCGCGGGTTTCGTCATTTTTCTTCCCTGGGCTCTTGTTCCCGGGTGATAAAGTGTGTTACAGGGACGCTGGACTTCTCTGAGCAGTATGGAAATCAGGTCCCTGGGCGCCCAGTCTGCAGCGAGCCACAGGGCCCTGGCATGCTGATGAGGCGTGCTGGGCCGGGGGCTCCCAGAGCTGTCTGCATGGAGAGCGACTGTGTGCACTCTTCTTGAGGGCCTGGACACCCCTGCCTCCCTGGTGTTCCCAGCCACTCACAGCAGCCTGCCCAACCGCTCTGGGGTGACCTGGGAGAGCAAGACCCATGGGCATCCCCCAGAAGGGGGCTGCAAGCCGGAAAGACTGGGGTGTCCTGGGGTGACTGAGTCTGGGACTGTGTCCATGGAAGAGGTTGCCCTGACTCTTTCCCTGTAGCAGGCTGCCCCTCCTTGTCCATCTGCTGGCCTGCGATCTCCAAGCAACCCCGCCTCTCCTGAGGGTCTCTTCGGCTGTGCTGAAGGGAGCAGGATAAAGGACCAGCCACGCAGACAGGAGCCGCTGCCCGCGGGCCCAGGAGCTGGGCCGTCCAGCTGCTGCGGTCCCTGGGGCCCTCACCTGCCCATCGTCCAGTGCTCGCCCTCCTTGACTGTTTCCCTTTTAGAAAATGTTTTCAGAGGGCAGCTCGGGCTCTGATAATCACTGCCTTGGGCTTGTTTCTGCTCTTGATGACCAGCCAGGTCTCATCATGTCCTTCTTGGCTTCTGGGGCCTCTTCTTGGCTGCTCCCCGCTGGGGGATTCCCCGGGGTCCACCCCACCTCCTCTCTGGCCAGTCAGCCTGGCCCCCTATCTTTCAGTGGGTTTCATCTCTTCCCTAGACACCCCACCTTAGTGAATAGTAGTTTGTATACCCCACATCTTCTGCTTCTAGGTTAGAGTCCATGGTCGTTAGCTGCTTACCTGCCCTCGGCACCTTCTCACTGGACCGCCTCTGGGGTTCTGGATCAGTATTCTTTCCACCTCCATGAAAAACCAGTGGGAAACATTTTCCAGGTGAGAAAAATCCCCAAGGATGACGGGCACCTCCCTGGACCAATGGCTGAGCCGGGCTGAGAAGGCAGGGGTCATGGACCCTCCCCAGTGGGCAGAGTGAGGATGAGGTGGGGGCAGCAGGGTCTCTGGCTTCCTGGCTCCAAGGGCATCGCTCACCCCGCCAGAGAGGAAAGAGCCTGGGACTCAGATCCACTACCACGCCCAGGCCTGGCTCACAGTGCCGCCTGACCCTGCTGAGCCTGTCCCTTCCTGCACTGGCCTTGCACCAGGGCCGCTCCCAGGTCTGACTCCGGGGAGCTTGCATGGGCACTGCAGGGTCAGTCAGCAACCCTGACACACGCGCACACACACCACCCAGGCACAAACACAAACCCTCTGTCAGTCTGTGGATAAGGAGGAGACCAGAAGGTGCCCTTGTTCCGCATGTCCTTCTGCAAGACAGCTTGCTCCAGTGAGGCTCCATCCCGAGACAGCTGTGTGGTGACTGGGGAAGAAGACACAGCAGCAGAGTGGCCCCGAAACTCCCTGCTACTGCAGCAGGTCAGGTGGGGTTGGGTCCCAAAACCCAGCCTTGCTGGTGACCCGTGTTCCCCTCCTTGGACCTGGGCATCAGGCAGCTCCAAGAGCCCCTGGTCGCAGGGCCCACACCCCACAGGTCCTGAGGAGGGTGCCTGGATGGAGTCTTTGTCCCATGGTGGCCCAGAAGCCCTGGAACATTGGCCTCCTCCTCCACAAAGCGGGCTCGGTTGGCACTGCTTAACACACAGGGCTCCAGCTTGATTTGTGAGCTGGGAGGCCGGACCATAGGAGTGCTCTGCTGTCCCCTCTTTGACACCAGAGGCACTGCCTTCCAGAGTGCAGTTTCGGGTGCAGGAAGTGGCTGCACACGCCTTCCAGTCCTGGGCGCAGCCTCTTCCCGACCCCTCCTGCTGTTTCCCGGGCAGCCTGTTTGGCGGGGCTGGGACAGCTCCAGATCTACCTTCTGGCGTTACACTCTGAGCCAGTGTGGTGGGCCTGGGCCCGAGTTCCGTCACGGTGGACCATTGCCCCGTGGAGTGGTCACCAGGGGTGGGATGTGTCCCAGGGGGGCGGGGGGATCATTCTCAGCCTGGGTGGGGACTCAGGGCTGAGTGGGAGTTGCAGACACCCTTGGTGAAGGAAGATTCGTGAAGGTTAGTTCGGTCCACAGTTTTCTGGTCTTGTGAGAAAGCTGCGCACGTTCAGCAGAAACAGGGCTCCCAACTCAACCTGGATCCTCCCCCAGGCTGGCCCTGAGCTGCGCTTCTCACTCGGGGTGCTGGGCCTCTGCTGCAAGCCCCACCACCCCTGGAAATGAGACACCCGCAGGCTGGGTTGCTGAGCTAGGACGGGCTGGGCAAACGCGTTTCGGCATCTGGTGGGTTTGCCAAGACGTGACCCCATCCTACGTCCAGGAGCCCCTGCACTGCTCCCAACGGTCCCAGGGGACATCTCCACAAACCAGGGTGCAAACAGCAGCACTCCTCCCTGTGCAGGCCCCAGGGGCAGGCTCCGGGAGGCTCTTCCCACTCCTCCAGGCCCGGGGGTTTCGGGCCTCCCTGGTCCCTCGCTGACGGCTGCTTCCCTCCAGCCCCACCTCCCCGGTCGCATTGCCCCCAACCTCCGAGCCTTCAGTGTCCCCTCCTCCTCTTGGGGCTGCTCTTGGGGCCGGGGCTGCCTCTCATCACAGCCTCAGTTCAACTTGAGTCCAAAGTCACATTCAGAGGGCTGGGCTTGGACTCGAATCCATCTTGGAGGGAACACAATTCAACTCATACTTGTGAGCCCACTAAACGAGCAAACATTTCTAAGCAGCGAGTGTCTTCTACAGATTGCAAGGGGCAGCGTGTGTGTGTGTGTGTGTGTGTGTGTGTGTGTGTGTGTGCAGAGCAGCGAGCTATGCCGATGTACTCAGACACTGGGCTGATCAGACCAGGCCAATCGCCACACCTGCCGGGCCCACACTTAGCAGGGTGTGTGGTCGGGGCACCCAACACCCATTCTTGGCAATTTTTAAAGATAAATTTTATTTTATCTCAGCAGTTTCGAAATAGAAATGGAGTCGGCCCTCTGGGTGCAGCTCCCACAGGCGGGTCCAACCAAGCTCAGGTTAGAAATACTTGGGAAAAAAAATATGGCGCCCACACTGGACCCACACGGGCAGCCTTTTCTCCAGCAACCACTCCCTGAACAACAGTCTAACTCCCACTCGGCACAGGCTTTGCACCATGTATTGTAAGTAATGTAGGGTGACTCAAAGTCTCAGGGCCTGGAACACTCCTATGCCAATGCTGTCCTGTCATAGAAGGGTAACAGCACTTGCCTATCTGGATCACTGGAAGCCGCCTGTGAGGACCCCAACTATACATTACTATTAATGGTAGCTACCAACCATGGGGCCCTAGGACGAGATGCCTGCTGTGTGAGCCTGTGCCCTGCCAGCTTCTCTGTCTACACACAGGATGCTGTGGCCCGGGCTTAGGTTTGCTGGGTTTGGGGACAGGGCTGAAACCTGCCTCAATTTCCCCCTCTGGGAGATGGGCAGAGCAAGGCCCACTTGAGGGGGGTTGGGGAGGGGATGAAGTAACGAACCGGGCTGGCACAGTGCCCAGCGGTTCTTGCTGCCTGGGACATGGCGGTGGCCAGGGCTGGCCGTGCCCAGGGTCCCACCACTGTGTGTGGCTGCCAAATGCACTTGCAGGGAG